TAATAAAAAGATTATTATTGACGAATTATTCGGACGAATATCCTCATGTCAGCTATTAAAAAATGAAAGAATTTAGCTTAGTACAGCACAAAGTCAGTTAATGATAAGGAAGCTATTTTCTGCTAATAGCGATGATTCTCATTTTGGGAGAAGTAGCACCCGAAAGCCTAGCTTTTACCTCAGATTGATGCCGCTGTGAAACCGTATCAATTCTCGTCATTATATAAGCTCATCCTAGTTACATTATTACTAATTTGGGCCGATCTATTCTTCGTCCTTCCTAAACTTTATCCAATTAGTTTATTCTTTCTTGTCTTGTAAACAAAGGAAAATTGTTGGGAATAGGAAAGACGGACCTGGTTGTCCTAATTAAGATAAGCATTGTTAATTAATTTTAATAAGCAAAAGGATACTTTATATATATATATATATATATATATATATATATATATATATATATCATACTATTATAAAACCCAGGTTGTGTGTGTGTGTCTGTTCGTTTATATATTGGATCGAATTTCCTACATTTTTCAACCGATTTCAACAAAACTTCACAAGACTACATAAAATTACCTTGAGGTGGTTCTGACAGCGCCAAAAATTGAAAAAAACACAATTGTTTTTGCACGAAATCAATTTGAAAACACAATTAAGAGGCATCGCAAGAATGAAAGGGGGACAACTCATATCGAGTTATACTTATTATAAAACCCAGGTTGTGTGTGTGTGTGTGTGTGTGTTCGTTTATATATGGGATCGGATTTCCTACATTTTTCAGCCGATTTCAACAAAACTTCACTTTTTTTTGGCAGGTAATATTTCTTTTTGTCTTGCACACTTTTTTTTTTTATTTTTACATTCAGAATGCTTTAAAAATTCCATTTACAAGACAATTGTTTATAATAAAATTCTATTCAATCAGGAGACTCATAGCGATTGAAAACAATGTTTTGTTTGAGTTTGGGTTTGACCAATTCGTAAAAAAAAAAAAAAAAAAAAAACTAATTAAGACATGCGTGTCCATCAACCTTAAACAATAATCTTTGTCAATTTTATTTTCAGTCTTTATGATGGTCGATACTTGATCTATCTCTTACTGTTACATCCCCGGGCAACGCCGGGGCTCTACTACTAGTATATATATATATATATATATATATATATAGGCGATCAGATGATTCCGTTATTTTGGTTTCAATCTTTCGGTATCGTTATGCGGTTTTGTATCAATTGATTTCCCAACACTTTATTTTTTGTTTTTTAATTATTAATAAACGCTTTATTATTAAAAAAAAAAATAAGTAGAGAAACGCGCGACGTTGGGTATGATAGTATGAGGAGGAGGAGGATACGAAGAAGAAGGAGGAGGAAGAGGAAAGAATGTGTATTGTAAATGTATCAGTGGGGAGGTTAACTGAAATGTACATATTTTTTAACCAGCCTCATATGAAATTAAGAGGAATTTTTTTGTATGAATGCAACGTTTCATATCTGGGACTTTTGATTTAAAAGGTTTTTTTGTGATCCGGAAATGTCATTATTTTCTTGTTGGCAGAAGTTACATATATTATTAAGAGTAAGACTGTTATAAGGTTTAGCTATTTTTCTTCTTTTTTTTTTTTTAATTTAAGAGCTCTACATGTTAAATTTTTCATTTTCATTTTTCAAACGTGTATTAAGCACTTTTTTAATACTACTGTTTCCTGGTCTAATCCAACTCTGACCATTAACCTTTTCAGTATATATATATATATATATATATATATATATATATATATATATATATATATATATATATTTTCCGCATATAACGCGAGCTTTAAATCTTAAAACTTACCTCCTAAAATAGGGGGTCGGCTAATAAAACAGTTACAAAAAGCTAACCTTAAATCCTGTGGCGTATCGACACTGATAACTAGGCTAGTATAATTGCATCGTGGATTGTGGTAGGCTACCATCTACCTCGCTATGGTAATTATTACTGATGTAAATATTTCTTGTTGAAATAATTCAAATTATAATGCTGTACTACAGTTATAAATGTAATAAAATTACTTTTAATTTTGATTTCATATTAAAATGCAATATTCAAGAGACAATTACACAACAATTTGCAAAAGTTCTGCTGAACAATGCACACACGTAACAAGTAATAAACAAATCTTTCATACATTATACGGTATTTGTTTTTGCGATGTTAAGATTCCATTAAAATGTTTATTTCTTATTGCTGAATTCCAAACATAAGACACCCACATACATAATTAAAATCCTTCAAAATTATTAGGATCATCTGCAGCTGATTCAAAGACCTCATCATAAATATCATCATTTAGTTTTGTCAAACTGGATTTCAGTCGGTCGTCATATACTATGATTATCAGATAAAATCACGAAAAGTTTCCTAGATTTGGGGTCACGTCTTATCTATAGGTCGCCTTATATATATATATATATATATATATATATATATATATATATATATATATATGAAGAAAGAACAAAAAACTAAAAAGAAAATAATGTAATAAAGAAAGGGAAAGAAAATAAGACAAAAACAGAAATATTAAATAAAATGAAAACTATAATGATGCAAAATGAAAAAAGTAATTAAAAGGAAGAAAACGAAAAAATACAAAGAAAGAAGAAAGGACAGAAAAAGAAAATATGAAAAACAGACCGGAAAATGAAGAAACCAAAAAGAGGCTAAAAAGAAAGAAATCAAAATAAAGAAAGAAAAGAAAGAAATCAAAATAAAGAAAGAAAAAAATCAAAATAAAGAAAGAAAAGAAAGAAATCAAAATAAAGAAAGGAGGAAATAAAAAATAAAAATGGAGGAAATTGAAATTCTATTTTATAATAGAAAATAAAAGAAAAAAAAGAGAAGATAACAGAGAAAATTATAAATAAAAAGAAGAAAAAAGAAATTAAATATAGGAAAGAAAAGAAAGAAAAAAAAGAACGAACGCCAGAAGACATTAAAAATAAAGAATGAAAACAGAAAATAAATCATTAGTGAAGGAAAGAAGGAATTAAAAAGAAAAATTTAAAAAAGAAAAATCAATTTCAAAGGAGGATGATTTCAAATACCTTATCTTTTATAAGTACATTTAGAGGCGCTAACGAGAAAGACAAGACACTTAAAGTGAAATTTGTAAAGAAATAAACATTTAATAGAAAGACAAAATATTTTTACAATATAAAAGTGTACAAATTACAAAAAGAGTTTTTAGAAAATTTCCCTTCTGCGCCTTAAACTATCAAAGCAAATTAAATTCTTTTGAAATACACATCCGTTTTAAAAAAAGAACATTTCATCTAAAGCAATTTTTTCTTTAACAACAAAGGAATTTTAACAACTTTTTTCAGAGTAACAGTTCATATAATTCAATTTCTTAGAAACAAAGAAATTTACACACTTCGAAATATTCATAGTTGAAAATGATGATAGTTCAAAGGTTGAAAGCCGAAGTTTAAAGTGTGTGATAAAAAGTTGTCCTACCTCAGGCAAAACTATTTTACTTTTGATAAAAATTCAAATTTTAGAGCAGGTGTTCTCACATTTGGGAGAAACTCTCTCAGGTTTATAAAAGACGATTTAATGAGAAAAATTCTACAGTAGCAGTAGTAGTAATAGCCTTTTATCATCCCAGATCACATTTCACAGCTTTCTCGTCTGAATGGTCTATTTCCTTTTCCAGCAGCAGCAGCGAATTTTACACGCTGAGATAGTCAATCCATTCTGACCAGATTACAGCTTTCTCGTCCAGATGGGCGAATCCTTTTTCTCTCTTATATGGCAAACAAGTGGATCAGAATCTGCATAAAAATCTCCTGAGAGTGTTTATATATTTTATCCCCATTGGTTAAAAAATCGTGAGTCACTATCCAATCAAACAGCACCCGTTTTCAATTCAAATTTGATTGGTTTATGAGAACATCAAAGTCGAGCCCATTCAGTAAAATTTTACCACGAAATTTTAAACTCTCTGGTTTCGTTTTTAGCCTCAATATTGATCGGGTTTTTCTTTTTCCAAATGTTTACACATAAATTTTCATTAATTATATATATATATATATATATATATATATATATATATATATATATATATATTATGAATTCGCAATATCTTTCTTTTTCCAATTCGTAACGTATAAAGGTATGAACCCAACATTAAAAAAAAGATAGGCTGGGTTCGCTCAGATAAGAACAGACGAACAAGTACCGACGAACAACAAACAGAAGATTAACATTTGTAAATAAATTTTATATAACAAAAAATAAAATATGGGAAAAGTATGGAGTGACAGACGTACAGTTAATTAAAGAACACTTAACTGATATTGGATGTTAGTTCAAACGTATGTGTTTCAAGAATTTGGAGTTCCAATGTAGGTAATGACAGACAAACAAAGTTGCTGCAGAATGTTCACAAAAGTTGGCTGTTCTTTCTCCCGCAATGAGAAATATTGGATTCTGGAATAATGTTTGTGTTCCATTTCCTCTTGCTTAATTTGATTGCATCCGGAATGAAAGTAAAACCATTCTGTTTGTTGTCAAGCAATCCTAAATTCCTTTCCTACTATTTCTTAGGAGGTCATTCTGTTTGTTGTCAAGTGGCCCCAAACTCCTTTCCTGACCTTTCTTCGCTGAAACAGTCCAGATAGGTAGTAAAACAAAACAAAAAAAAGGAAGGAGGAGGAGGAGAAACACAAAGACAGAACGTCTCCTATTAAATTTATTGCACGTCTGATTTAACAGTTAACATTGAGGGCCATGTCATTATATATATATATATATATATATATATATATATATATATATATATATATATATATATATATATATCAGAACACATAAAGAAAAAAGTAAGAACGTAAAAGGAAAAGAAAGAAAAATCCTATAACGAAAGGAGAACAAAATAAATAAAATTCTGAAGAAAGGAAAAATAATGCAAGGATGAAAGCAGAAATATATGGAAAGATAGTTAAAAGAATTATGCGAAAGGAAAGAAAAAGCAAAGAAAAGAAGAAAGAAAAGAAGAAAGAAAGAAGAATGTAAAAAAGAACAAAAGTAGAATATCAAGAGAAAGAAAGAAAAGAAAGAATAAAGGAAATAAATGAAGAGAAGGATTGAAAAAAAAAAGAATAAACGAAAAAGACATGATAAAAAGAAATAAAAATGAAAAGAATTTAAGAGAAAAAGAATTAAAGAAAGAGGAGAAGATTAATATGGAAAGAAAGGAAGTAGAAAAATAAAAGAAAGAAAAAACGCAAGAAAGCAGTTTATGAAATGTGAGAATAAAAAAGAAAGAATTAGAAACAGAAAAACAATGAAAGCTATTAAAAGAAAGAAAGAAAGAAAAATTCTAGGGACAGAGAAGAAGAAAAAAAAAAAGCGAAAGCATAAAATTAAGAAGTCTTATTTAAATAATTTGGTGAAATAATGAACATTCGGGTAACTCTTGTTAAACCATTGTTATCTTCATTGTCATTTTTGGCACAGGTTTTCTATTCTTCTCCAAAACAGTCGGTTTGCTGCCAGTGGAAGTGTAAGATTTCGGCACACGCCGGCTCCTGAGACCAACCATTAACGGATGGCATTCCTCGAGGTATTACTTTCAACGCCTGCCGTAACTTACACACGTGGGAGTAGCTAAGTGGTTAAAACATAGGATTACAGATTGGGGGTGCTTTGTAGATTCTGTGACAGTGGGGTACGTGTCTTTTGTGAAGAAAAAAAATTACCTTGAGTCATGCACTTTTCTTGTCCACTTATAAATACCTAAACTAAATCCCTTTAGGTCTAATTATGGCGGAACTCACATTTCTTCTTCTTCTTCTTCTTAAGATTATTATTATTATTATTATTCATTCAAATGAATGCCATTGCGAGAGTATAATCCCAAATCCAAAGACTTCAATTATTTTCTGTCTGAATTTCTAGGTTGAGGAGTTATTATTTACAGTATTTATATTCGGACTATTGTGCTCATCTTTGTTATCACAACGTTTCGGCCGTTGTGCCCTCCGACCTTCATCAGGGGCATGTTGACTCGTGTAACCAACAGGGAATTCCGAACTGAATCCTTTATTTAATCTACGGGGATAGACTTTTCTCGTTTGCCCTGCCCATGTTTAGGGATATCTCGTCGAGTTCTTATTTTTAGTTGCTCGCCCTGATTCCATTGAGTCCAAGTCCAGGGATTGAACTCACAATTACTATGTTGCCCAAATTCATGAACAAACACTTTAATCCGCTAGGCTAGCATCCCACGGGCTTCAATAATTTTTTTCCTATTTATTTATTACAATTCTGCCTATACGGTCTTATTTTGGGGATCAGAAATACACGAACAATTCCGAAATAAACCCCTGCATACGAAATACATTTTGGCTTTAAATGACTCACACAGGATTGATAAGTCAGGAAAAAAACAAATCATCCAATCACTCAACAATGTACCCCGGGTGCATATGAATATGTTTGCACATACAGGTGTATGTGTATAAATCTACATCATGTGTTATTGATGTATACTTATATATATATATAAATTTGTGCAGATCTGAAACATGTGTGTTGCATGTGCAATTACATATGCATGTCATATGTGCAGTTGTAGAAGGTGAATGATGGTCACGTGAGTCACTGAACGATTTTTAAGCCAATCAAAACATCCTTTTATATACAGGCTGTCGAGAATTTTTCACTCGATTCCGACAATGGTTTTACTAAGCAATCAGTTTTACAATTAATCGATTTAATTGTTTCTATTCTAATTACATACATCATTCATAAGATTGGGACAGTTCGACATGTTGTAATGGTTAGCGAGCCTCTCTCGCTAGAATAATTACGACTGAGTAGTGAGTTAAATCCACACTGGATACTTTCTTCCTTTGCCACATCTAAGGTTTCGCTTAGTAAATGACTATATCTGTAATGTATATATACACACATATATATATGTACATATATATATATATATATATATATATATATAATATTATATATATATATATATATATAAATATAGATTCAACACTTAGAAGCGACAGGGTGTTTTATTCTAGACGCAATCGTCAGGCCTAACGATTGCGTCTAGCATGAAACAGCCTGTCGCCTCTAAGTGTTGACTTCAATGTTCACTTTTATATTTACACACGCTCTATCTCTGATATTGAGCACTTTATCCCATAAATATAGCACACCTTAAGAGTATATTTCTTCATATATATATATATATATATATATATATATAGATAGATAGATAGATAGATTAAAGAGGTATTGCTTCCTAAATACACAACTATATATATTTGTGCATTTGCTCAGCATTTCCTTTAAATGAATGTTCAGTGAACGGCAAGATTCTAATGTATATATAGGGTGCGATGGGTAAATTGTCGCCATTTGACAGTTTTAATTTCGAGCATGCACCTTGTTTGTTTTTGATTTTGACGACTGTACAGTATAGTAGGGTCAGTTGGGCAACGTCTGTGAGAAAAAAAAAAGTTCCATGACGCAATTCCCTCCGCCAGAAATTTGGAAATAGCATGCTCTATTGTTTGCCAATCGCACCGGAAGCTCCAATATGAACATTTCAAAGTGTTTGGGTTTCAATCTGAGGGCAGTGCAAAGGATTCGGAAAGAGTTGGATGAGTCTAATGCTGATTACGAAGGTGTTTGTAGTGACCGCTATTGATGGCGACGTTATGCCTCCATTAATCTTCCCACGGGGCCTCATACTCAATACGGAGGCCTACATCAAGTGCCTTGAAGGGGTAGTGCTACCTTAGGTCAAGTGGGTGGCTGCTGGTAAACCCCATTTTAGTCACTAAAATGTGGTTTACGTTGATGCGACGGCACATAGACATGAAGGAGACGCTGACAATTTTAAATTTAAAAATTGACGGAAATATAAACAAAAAGAAAGTAAATGAAAACGATTCGATTCTAGACCGAAACATACATTTAAGAAAAAATTAAATTAAAGTTTTAAATTTAATGATTCTTTGGTGACCGGACGCAAAATGGAATTACATCTTTAGATGAAAATCTAAGACTGAAAGTTTAAATCAACAGTAGAAACAATCTATGAGATTGCAGTGTCAAGAAAGATCAAAGGAAGATAAAATTATGAAATTATCTGAAAGATTAGAATAAAATGGAACAGACGGCAAATCTTCAAAAGACTAAAAGATTTGTCAATAATTTTTACTTACAAAGTGCAATGACCTTTTGACACAATCATCTACACACACACAAATGCACACACACACAAGCACACACACACAAACTTATATACACGCATAGATACATCAGTAAATTCGCAGCTTTATATTTTTATTATACTCTGATTAGTTCGTACTAGCGTCCTTATCCTGTTTGTTATCATCACGACGTTTCAGTCTTTGTACCATCTGTCCTTCATCAGATGTCTGATGTAGTTGGTTGCCTTCTTTGAATCATGAAGAGAAGGTGGGAAGATTTTTCATTCTGATTTTTAGCACTTTTCGATTCAGGGAAAATTTCATAAACAATTTCAGTTCGTAATTTCAAACTGCGAATTCATATCACAGTCTGCTGCTTTATAAACGATAACAGACTTTTGCAGAAGATTGAACTGAAGTCGGTAATATGAAAACGTAAATAAAATCCTATCTATCTGATCATTCTTAAACAAACACGTCTAAGCATTTCTTTCCAACCATTTCTGTCATTGATAGCACTAACCAGTTCTTCCTTCCTGATTCCGATGGAGTCTATGAGTTGATTGATGAAGGTTCTTCCTAGTCAAACATTTCATTTTTTTCCCCATAATTTGAATCAGATACTACAAGCCGGTACGCAACGTCATGTTTACTTCTCCAGAAGTAGGGGTTTATCCCTTGTCTCCTGATTAGCATTGCGTTTCCGGTTCCTTCTAAAGTCTAGTTCAACTCTATACTCCAAACGTCTAGGCCTAAACTAACCTTCAACATCTTGGGTGAACATTAGTATAACAAAAGCTAACCTTCACGAACTGCGTCCGTGATACTTGGTAGGTCCCCATATAATTCTTCATTGGACGAATATTGTTTACATCCGCAATTTAGCACAGATCTCAATAGCCGAATAAACGTACCATCTAAGTTTTTTATTTGCCAATAATTTTGATTAGGCCCCAATATTCGGTGAACTTAAAATGATTACTTTGTTACTTATTTTAGTGCAATATGTATTTAATTATAATTATTGCCACGTGAAGTAAACCATAGTCAGTGTATTATTTAAACAAATTAACGCTAAGTAACCAATAGTACTTTTTTTTAAATAGTCATTTGTCACTTACTGCCAACAAAGACAATTTTCTATTTACATAAGTAAATAATAATCGTTCTAAGTAACCGGTTAATCAAAATAAGTGCTGCATAATTTGTTGCGTTTTCTTAATGTCGAACTGCTTGGCTCGTATAAGAGATCTGTTTCTACTATTGGCCTAAACTTTTCAATAAAAGTAAGTCTATTCCTTCTCTCTTCACCCAATGTTAGCAGATGCTGACCCGCCCCCAAAAAAAACAATGTTTTGCTCGTAAATTCTCTTCAAATTCTACTCTTAACTCATCTAGAGAATCTTTGCCTGACTTTCCGTTTAGAACTGAGTCTCTATTGAGTGATATTCTAGACATGTTAGTGGTTATTGTTCAACTCAGTATCTATGCCGATTATACAACTATTTACTCTTGTCTTAATGATATGTCTGATCGGTTCATTATGGTCAAATTGGCAGCTGCTCCCCAAAATGATCTATAATCTGCTGTTAACTGGGGCAAAGAATGGCTTTTTATTCTAATGCTTTCAAAACGAAACTTCTCTCTTTTAATTGTCTTCTAGAACATTTTTTTATCTTCCATCATCATGGCTGATGCTGGCCTCCAGGAAGGTGACTCATTGCGCCTTTTCGGTCTAACGTTTTCCGCTGACATAAGTTCTGCTGCTTGTAACGTTGGCTTAGTGTCGTACTAGACAATTTTTCCCGACAGAATGTATATTACATATCTGTAAGTCTACCATTCGTCCATGATTGAATATTGCTGTCACATCTGGTTTGATGCTTCTACTATGCATTTAGAGATTTTTGATAAAATCCAAAGAAGAATCTGTAATTTTATCGATATCCTCTGTCTTCTTAATTCCTGTTCTTTTATTATTCTTTCTCCTTAATAATGTTTTTTTTTCTTATAGTCACTGACACTCAGTAACACCCTTCATCTTAGTGGCTTTATTGCCTTACTTGAACCAGCCACAACGGAGATCCAACCACACTGAAAATGTTACATATCGCCATATTTTCTTGCACAACCAATGAATGAATGCAACTTG